TCTAACGACTTTTCAAGTTTTGGATCTTTTCGTGTTTTCCCAAGTGGAAATCCGATTCAAGAGCAATCGCTCGACCATCAGGACAGCCAACAGCCTCCCCAGGATGAAGACGACCGTAAAGCGATAGTATCTAATCGAAATTCCGGTCATTTGAAAGCATCTTCGGCTTCCAGTTGTAGGCCACCGGCCACAGATATACATCGCGAATCACACGACGACAATGCGAATAAAAGACCTCGTCTAGATCGCAAATATTCCTCTCTAATTGATACTGTTTCTATAAAGCCTCCAACTTTGCGCAAACGTGTAGAGCCAGCTACTAGGATTAGAAAACACACCCCACAGAATAGCGTAGCTCGACTATCAGATCCAACCATCTCTACAGCGCCGCGCCCTACACAGAGTCTTGATTCCTGTCATGCCCCTAAGACAGCGACTACTCGACCTCTCCAACCAATATTAAGACCATCAGATGCCCACTCTCGAAAGGCGAAACGGCCTAACCGACGCGTTTCATTTTCTGCGGAAAATCAGATTGTAGTTTTCGACCAAGGGGACGAAACACCAATCAAAGAGGCTCGCAATGAATGGAAGATTGATCACTTACCCACTCGCACAGAATGGGAGAATAAAATGGCGGATCTTAGCATGGGAGAATCAAGCTCCTATAGATCCGACAAATATATGGATAGATATCCCCGAAACGACCGTCGTGGCCGGGACCGACACACCTCTGCGGCTTCCCTAGGTTCCACGCGGATTCTCAATCCGGACTCAGATTCTGGCCTGAGAAGGGCCAAATCCCCAGTCCCCAGGAGGGAGTTTCCGACGCACTTACCTTGGGAGAAGCCTCCGATGCACAAACACCGACATGTAGATGTTAGGTGTAAGCATGAGATTTTAGACCCAATGCCCTGCTCATGCGAGGAGCCGGACAAAGTTTACGAAGGAAGGTTTTCCGACTGTCGGGAATGCGCCTTAGAGGACGCGAGGGAATTTCGTGAAGAGGAACGAATGCGGGCTAGGAACAAGGAGAATTCGGGTGATGATAGCGAGTCCTGGTGGAATAAGTTGACGAAGAAAATCACATTTTGACTTGCGATTTGTTGGATTTTGGCGTTTGTGAGTTTGAGCTTGTGCGAAGTTGAAGAAAGGTCCATGAGGACAGGATTCTCGGGACAACATTTTGAATTATAGAATATCGCATGTAGCTTGGAATTGGAGTTATTTTCAATCTAAATTTACGTATGGTTGTCATATAGTAATCAGCTTAAACATACTACTTACATACGTATGGTAGCTAAGTAAGAATCCAGTCTCGGCAGTAAGAATCTCGGTCCTGTAGCGAAAGCTGGACCACCTTTGGCAACACATGTGAGGGGCGGATTTAAGAGAATGCCCCGCGCCTGCAAGACCCCACCCATGAAACCACGCAATGGACCTTTTTGAGAGAGAGAGCAAGTTGACCAAACCTTCTAATTTTGGACCTGATGAAAGTCTCCAAATTCGTTTTTTGCTCTTTCGCATTTAGTGGTATTTGGTATCCACCACCCGCCACTCCGGATCCATATGATACGTGATAGCCATTCATGAGATATATCTGAATTAAAGGTTGGGATTCGAACTTGCTAGAAGTTGACAATGAGGGAAGCAAAAACTGTCAGCATATTAGGCTCCAAATATCTGGGTCACAAACGACCATAATCCCCGAGGAGCCTTGTCTCCCGCACACAATTTGGGCCGGTGGAAGGATCTGGGTGGCACGGATTCCAACCTTGCGGTTTCTTAGATTCAAACCAACGGCCGTATCCACAGCAGGACGTCGGCCGGCCGATGCAATGAGCTTGCGTAATCGTTGTAATTATAATTATCCAAAGCAATCTTTTGTTACTGATTCTGTTGAATGTTAGTATGCCCAGACCATATGATCCTGTACAGCTGTGCGACTGTGTTCGGGTTTCGAGATCTAAAGGACCAAATTGCAACTAAAACCAGTATTCGTTTTTAGAAAAAAAAAATTAAAAAAAACTGCCCATTTTGAGTGTTTCCTGAGTGAGGTAAGGATTTCTCTGCGGTGCCCAACACACAGGCGGGTCACTGTCGCCCGCTTCGCTGCTCTCTCAATCCTCGACATCGTTTACATCCTAATCGCCCGTAATTCCTAACCACCACTAAATCTAAGCAAACATGATTCAGTGCGGGTTGAACCAAATATTCTAGAGCTGCGATGAGGGCTTCGGAACACCTTCATTTTTTGCTCTGCATTGTCTCGCGGCTCTATACTTTTTTTTTTTTTTTTTTTTTTTCCCCCTTGACGAAATCGTTTCAGAGTTGTCACTTGATTCGCGGTGTCGTCCACAATACAGTACACAGGAGGCGAAAAAAAAAGTAGATTCACCCAAAATGGTGTTAAGGCGCCTTGTGCCTCAGGGAAGATAGGAAGAGGGGCATACAATGAAAAAGTCCATTCTGTTGGGACATTCGGCAGCTCTGCAGTCTTGGCCCCACGGCGCAGCAGTTTTGCGTCCACACAGGAAATCAGGAACAATCGACAAGGCCGGGTGCTCGATTTGGAGAATCGACTTTGATTTCCACAGTTCCATCATCCAATCAAAGCCACTGCCAGAATTCCTGGCCCCACAACGCACCCTCCCCGGGCAGGATGTGGTCGTTTGCTTGTGCAACAGACGACTTCCCAGAATGGACTTTCGGCAACCTAAACCACGTTGTAATATGTCCAGATGCTTGCATTGCATCCTCGTAAAATGTCCATTTGACGGAGCAGCTCAGCTGAACACACGGGAAAATATTTAATAAGGATCCCATCTTCTCCAACTTAGACTGTCCCTAAGCCCAAAAGAATTTAGTTCAAGATATCATTTAACCTGAAGGGACGCTATTGACCACTACTTCACTTTTATACTTCATCCCTCTTAAGCTCTTTGTTGAATTTACCGTGGAAGTCAAATTTCGGAGACACCGAAGAATCAATCAAATATTCTATAGTCGAGAATCAGTCGGAATATGCAGAAGTCGAACGATGAAGTTCTTGGCCAATTGGCCCGGAACGAGAACGAAAATGGCAAGAAAGGACCTCACTATACTCAAGAACTTAGGCCGAGCTGCTACGAGCAGTCCTCCACGCCCATTACCACTAGCTATCCCCTGCCATCTCACCAACTATCTCATAACTATGAACTCTCCTCTCCTCTGAATAGGCGTAAGAGGGCAGCTAGTAGTTCGATCTCAATTCGGTCTACTCCCCCATCTGAAGATGGTGATGCGGTTCGAGTCAAACCACAAAAGCGGCATCGCCGGGGCCGTACCCCCAGCATTTCCTCCAACCGATCTACGACGAGCACTTCCTCTGAGATTTCATTAAATCCCGAAAGAATCATGAGATCGGAGCGGTTCATTAACGGTGACCTCCACTACTATAACCCACAATTCGCCCCTCATGTCCCGATCACGCACAGAAAGTCATGGCCGCTCGTTATGTCTACCCAGAACCTGTTCCCAGTGTATCCGGATCACATAGAAGCTTTGGATATGGCTTCTACTGCCTCCAGTGTGGATTCCGGAATCGATATCCAGGAGGATAATTCAGCGGATGCCAGAGATGCTCTTGACTTTGCATATATCGGAGCATGGAGCCTTCGTTCCTAACTTCCCAAAATTTCGGTCTTCAAGTTACTATTTCGTTATCTCCCGGTTCTGTCGGAGTTCAGTGATCAAGCTTCAGATTCCACATAGTTCTATAAGTCTAGGCTTTCGAGCTGGCCGCAGGTGTTAACGGTGTTCTGTATTATTCCTCTGTTTTTTGTACCTCTTAAGTTTCCTTTTCCCTGATCTTTCTTTTCTTTCTAAGCAATCACGCTCTTGTCACCTCTATGCTCATTTCAGTCTTACCAATTTGCGTCTAATTCTAATTTCATTTGTGTTCCTGGTCATCGTTCAATTCTTATTTCCACGGCGTCGGTAGTGGATCAATCGGCGTCGCTTAATCGTTGAGTTGGTTTCTCAGCACTTTCTAGCCCAAGATAGCATAGATACAAACAGCATAGCAGTATCAATTCAAATAACATCCTATCCTTCCAACCCTACGTTCATCATCTCAGCTAAATCTGGTCTCGTAAGCCAGCCTCCACGAAGTGAACAAGCTAAATCCAACTCTTAGCTCAATTCGCCGAAGTCTTCTTGCTGTGAGACCGACGAAGAGTGTTAGAATGTGTTGTGGGTACCCAGTGGGTGCTCGGGTGTTGTCTTTTCGGATCATGAACCCCATTTAGGCAATATAAGCGCCTTCAAGTTCATGCAAAGCAGATATGTGACGACTGATGTGTCTAATCCTCAATCCTCTGGGTTAAAAGCCCCCTTAGCAGGCATCAGTGGAGAATTCAAACAGTAGGCGGTGGCAAAGAAACTTTTCACAAGGGGAACTTTTCAGGGGCTTAGCTCGAGGTATTCAGCTGGTTTCTGTTCACATCGTATATATTTCGCGAAGGCCTCCTTCACAGTGAATGACCCGCTGCCGTCTAGACGCGCTCTTGATACAAGGCATAATTTGTCAAATGTACCGTCATCAGGCTCTTCTGTGTATATATGAGTATATTTTCTGGTGCCTAGTACGTGCCGTCTTAAAAATCTGCTGCCTTGATACCTTCAATCCTTGTTCTACGTTGGGCAGCGTGGGGCGGCCTGAGTTTTATACAATCCACAACTACCCAGCACTCGGGAGTCTTTCGAGAACCCGGAAGTCAAGACCACGTGTACACCTAGTCCCCGAGAAATTTGGTGACTTGTATCAATCCTAGATCAGTCTAGTCTCGGCATGCCGGCAAGTTTCTGAAATAGTGACCAGGGTGGCGGAAATACCAGACTAAGACCTTGATCAAGTCCTACGAAATACTTTGTGGGTCAACACAACAGATGTTTCGAAGTGTACGGTGACCATTCTACTATACAACGGAGGTCTGGCAGCTTCATTATCTGCCAGAAAAGTCGGCGTAGCTCAGTGGTACGAGCAGAGGATTGCAGTTTCCGAAACGAATATCCTAAGGTCACCTGTTCGACCCAGGTCGTCGACTTCATCTCGCTCTCTTTTTGGTCTTTTTGGACTATTTTATCTTTTTTTGGTGGTATTGTGCCCTTGTTCAAGGTATCACAATTGCGTGCTTTTGCCGAAACATATTTTGCCGTAATTAAATCAACTGATCACGCAATCTACGATGGAAGTCTTGGTTGAAGCTTGTAAAACTTAAACGAGTCTATTGAAAATGGTTCTAGTTATAAAATACAATGAAATACCACGAACCACAACGCCATGGCTATGCTATATGCAAAACATCAAAAAATCAAATCTAGATGCGGTCTATGAGTATGAGACAAACAAAGGAAAAATATGATTAAGTCCCTTTCACAGCTTTATTGCTTTTAAGCGCTGGCGGGGGAGACGGCCGAAACCTGCAAGTTCTTCAAAACACCCTCCCATGCAGTGGAGATGTCAGATCGAACTTTGTTCTCAACTTCTTGTTCGTAGAACACTAGATCTTCTCCAGCAGCTGTCTTTTCGCGATCCATGGTAGAGATGCTGATCTTTGGGAGGACACTGGGCAGCTTCATTTGGAGTTGTTCAAGGATGTCGGTGAAGTGCTTTCCACCATTGAGCATCTCGGCAGGGCGGGCACCGTAGCTGACAATCATAGCTGCTTTTCCGGACCACTCATTGTAGAGATAGTCGAAGGCGTTCTTGAGGGAACCGGCATAAGAGCCGTTGTATTCTATTGAGGGAACTATGTTAGAAAATCTTCTTTGAGAACGAATATGGAAGCTGGAGAAAAGAACATACCAGGAACCATAAAGATGTATCCGTCGTGGCTAGAAATTTCACGACTCCATCTAGTGGCGAGCTCGTTGGAGTAAAGCTCGGGGCTTTGAATTGTGAATGGGATTTCAGATTGCTCGAATGTTGGGAACTTCCACTCGGCGAGATCGACGATCTTGAGGGTGACGTTTTGAGGGACGTTCTGCTTGATGGTGTCGAGGGCAAACTTGGCCATCTTAGGACCATTTCGTCCGGGGCGGACTGAGCTGATGATAACAGCGATGGACTTGGTGGAGGACTTTCCGAAAGCCATTGGATTTGATTGTACTGGGGTGATTTGTGAAATGGGGTTTTGGTTTTGTGTTGTGGATGTGGTATTTTTCACTGGAAAGTGGAGGCTAAGCTTGCTTGTTTGGCGGAGGCTTGGAAGTAACTTGGAATGGGTTGAAGGTTTTGACGAGAGAAGAGAGGAGAGAAGCTGTTTGTAATTGCTGTGCAGATGCTGAAGATGCTGATGCTGATGATGATAGGGAATTTTTTTATCCACTGGCAATGAAGTCTCTTTAAATACCAAATTTCTGTTTAATGCTAATTGTCCTCTTGCTAGTGCTTCAAAAATTATTAAGCTTTCATTAATTCAACGGTTTACGATAATGCATTGAAGCTGATTACGATATCGTGCTGGCTGCAGAATACAAGGGAAAGCTTAATCAGTATGTGTAGGTGTTCATGTAATCCGGACGAAAACCCTCCCGCACAGCAGGTGCTGGCTTTAGCAAGCAATTTTTCTCGTCCGGAAGAAAGTTCTTCGTAATAAAACTAACCGGATATGGGAAAGCGGGTTATGTAAAAACGAGGTAAGCAGGACAAACTCATGGTGTTAGTAATCCGCCCAATTCGTCAGAGTGCAGGGAAAAACGGTGCTAAGCGGTTTCAAGCAGTGCTTGGGCCTTCTCCAACAGCCGAAGTCAGTAACCGCTTCTTAAGCTTGCATCACAACCGGCGATTGCATAATTGTTGTCTGTAGACTGTCGACCCGTCTGCGGATTTACATACAACCTGCAGCTTGCAGCTTGTCGCGAAAAGCTTATCTTTGCAAGCATTGCAAAATTATACAACGTTCAACATCTACATCTTTCGAACCTTTCTACCTAGTGAGATTTCCGATAGCTTCCGAACACGAAGATTCGATCATGGATTCCGATATGCAGCAATTAGGCAGAGAATATTGACCGTTATAGCGTCGGCAACTTCAAACAATTTGGCTCCTGTCGCTCCGAGCACTTTACTTCTCATCGAGGAGCGCTCGAGCTCTTCAACTTAACTTGCATGAACCATTCCTAAGATCCATTGCGATATCCGGAACAAGTTTTCCGAATATAATCTATACGTATCAACCATTACCGCTGTATATGCACACGTACATATGTGGATAGGAATGGGTTCGTGATATTCACCGATTATTACGACGTAGTTCCACTAACTACTTGGCATCGAATCCGGTAGAATTCTAAATTCTGACTGGCCTGATGCATGGTCCTCCAGTTTCTTCTGGTATTAAATAACGTAACGCCGGGGCTTAAATGCGATTGGGATATAGTAGCTTAGGAAGCGGCAAGGTGTATCGGCCGTGAATATTCGAATTTGTCACTGACAGTCCAAGACAACAGCTACAACTTCCCCTGGTCGCTTGGGTTTCTCGAATCGCACTAAATTAGCGGTGCCGGCCGGTTTTGTGAAAGGAAGTCAACTTCGTACGGTCTACTAGTTCTGGGCGACCACGGGCACTAACTAGATTCTTGCAAGTGGAACAGCTACAACTATGTGCAGGCACATTTGATAGTGATTTTCTTTTAAAAAAGGCATCGCTAACTCCCGAAACCGAGCCAAACCAATTTGAGTATATTTCCCAAATGGATTTACAACACCCTTAATCTCACCAGCTGTGATCTTTTTGAATTCTCCCCGGACGCGAGGGAAACCCTTCGAGCAAGATAGTCCATACAATTTTATAAGTAGCAGAGTTACCCTAAGCCTGGTTGCGATATATATCCGGCCGACTAGCAATTGTAATTGTTCCTCCTTTGGCTAAATACCATTTCCCTACAGTATATATATATTGCAACTTGACTCAAGGGCCTAACCACAGGAGATAGAGAATTCTTCGAGTGACCAAGTTTTCGTCGTATATTCCCAAATATTGCGTAGATTCTAATAGTCCGGAATTATGGCTTGGGTTATTTAAAAGTTTAAACCGCCCCAGATTTGGAAGACTTTTGCTAATTCAATCTGGTATAGGCCGAGGATTAGCCCCTGGTATATATTCCACGTACAAGCAAGTAGCTATGCACAGGCTTGAAGGAATCGCGAAGACTATTTCCTCTTCCTTGTAAAGGCACTTCCTGTTAGGCCGAGTGTTTTCTAATGATACTCGTCTTACTTTGTAAAATTAATGTATCCTGATCTTATTACATCTTACGCATATATTTGTCCGACTGCTGCTACTGTTAATACTACTCCCAATTCTACCGTTACGAAACCGCTAATTAATGGGTTGATGTTCTCTCGTGCTCAAGAACCAACAGCCCACATGTACTTGCACGGCAAAATGTGCTCCAAGTTTGAGCATTAATTCATCTCATGACGAAGTATCCCCAGGACCTTTGCGTATGCTCGAGACAAGCCATGTGATTGTGCTCGACCCTAATAGTAACCGTGCGCATCTATGTAAAAAGGTACCTGCGTACCTCCGGCCCGGAATACTTATCTATTGGTCGGCATCTCATTGCTTTTTTGAACCTCACAAACACCTGCCCCTCCTTTCACGCCCCTCCTTTCACACCCCTCCTTTTCCCTCCTACCTTCAACCTCACCTCCGTACATCCTGGTGAAGCTTGCAACTGTACATTGATATCATTCCTTTAACTTTGAGGTTGCCTGCCGGAGTTCGTACAAGCAATCATACCGCCATTGTCTTCTCAGGGACGGCATCGACAGAACGTGGCCGCACTGCTGGCCCAGCTTCTTCAGTTGTGCAATCTCCGTCCTCTACTGTTAGTATTATCACACGGCGGAGGTCTAGTTCCCAGATAAGAATCCCTGGACTTCTCCGCATCACTCGAGATGTCGAAGAAACGATTATAGTAACAGCGCCAATGACAACGACGACCGACAACCAAAGAGCGCCGCAGCGGTCGAACCGACAGGTCGCTACAGGTCTCAACACAGTCCCACGATCTTTGGGTCCTTGGGTCAGAAATACCACAACTTACGAGACTGCTGCCACGCATCTTGATAACTCTGAGAGACCCCCAGCGCGGACGACGGAGGTCTCATTCAACTGGGTCTTCAGCACCGGCCCGTACTGCACCCTCGGGCGGTCGTCCTTGTTCCAGTAGTCGCCGACGCCAAAACGCATCCTCAGGTACTCATGCTCGCTCCAATAGCCGTAGACGCCAGGATGAACAGTCCTCCCACGCCCGACCTGGTAATCCCAACGGAGACCACCAACAAACACGTCGGACGGCGAATCGGTCGGACATTGCCGAACTCCCGGCCACCGTGCCAGCAACTATACCGGCCGGCAACGGCAGGGCAGGTGCCACCCGCCAGCCTCGATCCAATCGGAGATCGTCGCCGCCCCGCCGACGCGTGGCTAGAGAGCGGGACGAATAGCCCCTCAAGTTGTAGCTATTTCTCTTCCCGCTCAGACTCCACCGGAGCCTCTTCGTTCTTTCCTTTATCCCTTTAATGAGTTATGTGGTCGGATGGTTGGATGGAGGGATGGATGGATGGATGGATGGATGGTCACCTTCGTTTATGCCTCAATGATTTATCATTCCTTTCTTTCGTCTTTCACATTCACATTTCCTTTTCCCTTTTATCTCTTTAATCGAAGATCTAGGCTGGCTATTTAATTTAATTTAATTTAATTTAATTTTTTTCCTTCCATTCCATTTCATTTCATGTACGTGTATCAAATCTTTGTTTCCTAGCATCTACACTCAGGAGCACTTGCATTTTAGGAGTATATGGGGGGGCATGCATGAGCATTTACGGGCTATTTAAGAGACGGGAACAAAAAGTTTTTTTGCTTTAGAATCAAAAAAGTTCATCTTGTATGTTTTTGTTCGTCTTGCTTGTCTACATGTTAGAAAAAGGTAGAAAAGAAATTTTAAAAAAATTTTGCTTTTGATGTTGGATAGATTGTCGACATGTCGTAAGATATATAATACGTGATGGCCCACCCTGTTTAGCTTAGGA